AAGCACTGCGACTTGCTGCCCCGATTGCTGTGCGTGCCCCCTGTTGAGCATGCCTGTGGCTTGGTCGAGCGCCGACAGGAACGCGGCGGCGCGCTCGCCCTCGCTGAGCACTGCCGCTGGGGATGAGGGCGCAGCGGGCCCGCCGCCTGCGCCGAGCCCCCCTTCGCGCGGAGTTCTTTCAAGCTCGCGCCTGTGCTTGGCCAGGAGGTTGTCGATGAGGGCCTGCAGCTCCTTCTCCGTGGCCTTGCTCTGCTCGTGCGTTGCCCTCCAGCTCGCGCTTCTCTGCCTGGGTGCCCTCGATCTCCTGCGCGGCGGTCGCGATCTTCCGCCCCGGCGCCTCGGCGGTGCCTTGCTGGTTCTTTTGATTGCGCCCCAGCCCGCTAAGCTGGACAGACGTGGGCTTTTCCTGGGAGAGTTCGCGTTCCAACGGCTGCGCCTCCTGTCGCTCGGCAGCCAGGATCTCAGATGCCCCCTCGACACCTTCGAGCTTCTTGATTTCACTGCGTAGCTGTCCAAGTCGCCGTACTCGTTCGTCTTTCGGGGCTTGTGACTGCGCTCCCCCTGCTGATGAGCCCGCGTCGCCGCCTGGGACGGACTGAGCACCGCCTTCAAGCTTTTTGACCTTCCTGCGCCGCTGGTTCAGAAGTCGCGCCGTTCCTTGGCGCCCAATTGCGACGCGCCACTCCGCCGCGAGCTTGCGCCGGAACCTTGTTCCCACCAGTCATATTCGCAGCTGCGGCAAATGTGCCTGGGGCCCCAGTTATTCTTGGCTCCGCGCTTCGGACGATCCCGGGTTTTGGGTCCTCCGCCGCTTGTGTCGCCCACGACTGGTTGGCCGCCCCCTCGCCGTCCGCCTCCGCTGCCTCCTCAGCCGCCGCCGCGCTCGGCACCTCGGAAATGAAAGAATTGCGGCCGCGAAGGCCTCGCGACGTGGAATCTGACGCAATAAGTGACGCGACGACTAGAGCCAGCCACATGGGACCAGACATCTGCCCTGATCGCATCATCTTGAGCCAAAACGGTTACGGATGATGAGAATGACGATGATGATGGTGATGATGATGGCGATGGTGGTGCTGATCATGCTTATGCTGTTGGTGAAAACTGATGAGGATACGGAGGATAATGATGACGATGATGGTGACGACTACTACGATGATGGTAATGCGCATGCTAATGATGCGGCTGGCGTTCATGATGACGGGGCTGATGACGATGCGGACAATGATAAGGACGATGATGATGCTGTTGCTGGTGATGATGATGCTGATATTGCTGACAATGATACTGATGCTGGTGATGGTGAGCATGTTGGCGATGATGGTGATAATGATTCTGTTGGTGATGATGTTGGTGATGGTGCTGTTGATACTGCTGCTGCTGATGCTGATGATGATGAAGTGATGGTATGATGGTGGCGATGATGATGATGCTGCTGATGCTGATGATCACGATGCTGATGAAGTGATGGTGATGAACACTCGGTGGACGGCGGGCGACGGACACTGCAACCACAACGGAAACGATGGCGGCAATGCCGGCGACCCGACAAGGTCACGCCCCTGGGCGAACTGCTGAAAAATTCGCGACGTACCGAAAGAAACGCGGAATCTACTATACAAATATCCCGCACCAATTCTGAAGAGACCTGCTGCTTCAAACGGATGTTGCTGAAGGAGGAAGCGAAGAGGTCGAAGGCGACAGCAGTAGAGCAGAGACGAGCCTTGGACTGATTCGGGATGCTGGGGGAAAGCAATGCGGAGGGGTGACCCCCATCACCAATTTCACCACAACTCGGGGTGGTATGTGGGCAAAAGGAGGAAGCGACTGAGTGCAAGACGAATTAAAAGGCAAACAACGTAGCGTTCTGAAACATTTCCTCCCAAGACCTGGCAACCAAAACCACGCGTTTGAGCATTTGGTCGGTATCGACGAGACGACGGCCACATTTTTCAAGAACTATGAAAAAACTGATGAAACAGGAGTCGGGAGCTCCGGAAACGAAGCTGTAGAAACGAGTGGCACGCTGGATCCCTTGCATCACCGTGGCAAATGAAATCCGATGACGATCATGATGGCGATGCTGCTGTTGATGGCGATGCCGGTGGCAATGATGACGACGATGGTGCTGATGACGATGACGACGCTGATGCTGCCGACGATGATGATGGTGATGGTGATGATGGTGGTGATTGTGATAATGATGATGATGGGGGCGATGGTCCTAATAATGATGGTGCTGGTGATGGTGGTGATGATGATGTTCATTGATGGTGATGATGATGTTGATGGTGATGATGGGCACGGTGAGAAAAAACGAAGGAAGACGATAACGATGGGGAAGAGGAGAAAAAGGAGGAGGAGGCGGAGGAGGAAGACGAGGATGAGGAACAGGAGGATGATGAGGAAAACAAGAGGGGGAGGAGCGGCACGCCCCCCCAGACCCCCCAAGAAACGTTCACAATCAACTAACAATATCCGGGATAATCTGCGTACCCTTCTCCTGTGCCTCCTCCTCCTTTTCCTTCTCGTTTTCCTCCTCCTCCTCCTCCTCCTCCTCCCTCTGCTCGAAGACAGAGGAGGAGGGACAGGAGGGAGGAGGCGAGGGTGGAAGGGAAGGAGGGGGAGGAGAAGGCGAAACGAGGAGGGAAATGGGATGAGGCGGAGGAGAAAGAGGAAGAAGAAGCGGATGAGGAAGAGGAGGAGGAGGAGCAGGAGGAGGCGGAAGAGGAGGAAGAAGAGGACGGGCGGGCGGCTGACCCGACGTGGGTCTGGGCCGCTTCATCGATATCAGCCTTTCAATACTAAAGATATTTGGAGCAAGTGGATCACGAAACCACAGCAAAACAACAACAAACAAATAATCATTTACATCAGATGTTTAACAGAAGTATGGGATTATCGAGAGAGTTGAATTGTGACAAATTTCTTGTTTGTTTGTTTTTTGGGGCGGCTGCGGAGGGGGAAGGGACGAGGAGGAGGAGGAGAAACAACAAACTGAGGAGAAAGCGCGCAGAGGGCGCAAGCGAGCATGCATGCTATCCCCCGCGCAGCTGGGCCCAACTCTCATTGAAAACTTCTACAACTGGGTCCAGCTCTGAATGGATCCCGGTGCACCGGGGTCCAGTCCTGATAGACTACAGCTAGATCCACTTGTAGTAGGATCCAACCGGAGTTGGATTAAGGATTTCTCACTGAGAGTTCCTGATCCCTTAGCTAGGAATCCTTATTGTAAGGGTTCCCGACTGGAACTTCCTTACTAACGAGTCCCTACGAGAGATTACTTACCAGACATTTCCTATGACTTCTTCCCTTAAGCAAGATTCCGGGATAAAAGGTTGCTCAATCAGGCCCTCCTGCCAACGACTCCTGATCAACGAATCCTTGATAAAGACTCCCTAAATGGAATTTCGATCCGCTTATGTTTGCCCTGCACATTGCGCTGCGCACGTGTCATCTGGAAGTGATTTCGCCGGGCTCTTACTCTTCGGGCACCGCGAATCGACGTCCATGAACGATGCGACGACGCCGGCGCGCCTCAAAGTGCGCGCTGACGCTGCTACGTCGGCGGCGAGCGAGTGCGCCAGCTTCCAGACCGACCAGATGATTTCTTGCGAACTCAACCGTCGGCGCCGGTAGATCTCGGCGGGGCTCGCGCGCTGCCCCCGCAAATGTGCGACGGGCGCGCCCCGCAGATTTTCGGCGGTCGCGCGCGCGCGCCTCTCGCGGGCGTCCGCGCGCACGCGAGCTTCGCCCTGCCCGCGGCGCCCGCGCCTCGCCCGACCGCGGGTGGCAGCGCCCCTCTTCTTCGTCGCCTCCTGGCATCGGGGGGGCGAGCGGCGATAACTCAGCGCCGCCGTCGCTGCCGTGGCAGGCCCCAGGTAGCGCCGCGCCACCTCCTTCAGCGCCGCCTTCATCGCTGGCGGGCGCCCCGCTTCCTAGTCGGCCAAATAGCGGACGCGCAACCACCGGCGACCAATGCTTCTGCGAATGGCTCAGGTCGGGCGATCGGCTGGTAATGTGTCGGAGAGAAACTCCCGACTGGCGCGTGGCTGCCTTGCTCTCCGTCGTCGTCGACAAGTTCTCGCTGTCGCAGAGGACCCGCCAAAGGCTCTCGCCGTGCCCTGCTCGCGCGGCGCGACGCGCGCCCGCCAACTTCCCAGCGTTGAATGCCCCGACCCGCTCGTTCGCGTTCTCCTTCCTGAACTTGCGGCATCGCACAAGCCCGAGGCCGCGGCGCTCGACCCCCCGCCCCCCAAAGCGGCGCCTGGCAGGATGCGGGATGTGCACATTGGTCTTCCGCCGCGCGTGGGATTCGCCGGCGCGGCAGTAGCTCGCGCGGTTGACTTCGTCGGTGGGCGGCACGCGGCGCCCGCCCATCGCCATCGCGAAGCAGCGGTCGAGCTGGGCTAGCGACTTGCTCAGGACGAAGGAAAAACTCCCAGGCCTACAGCGGGAGCAGCAGCGACAGCAAAACATCATGGAACAACCGAACATCCTTGCCCAATGCCCACGCACCGAATGCACCCTCGGAAACAAAATAAATCCGTCCCCCCCTCCCCCTTCTCATCCTCCCATCCTCTGGAGGAAATGACGCGGAGAAGCAGGAGAACGAGAACGCGGAAGGAGCAGGCGGATGAGGAGCAGCTGCAGTACGAGTTGTTGTTTTGCAAGCGCAGGCCCTTCACCTCGATTGACAATCAGGCTGCCCATGAGGGCAGGCCCGCCTGGGGCCCAGGACAATTTTGAAACACAAGACTACAAGAGAACCGAAGTCCCACCCTGGCAAGCCTCACTGAGAAGCTCCAGGCAAGGCACGGAGCAAGAGGAGGATGAGAAGCGGTAGGAGGAGGAGGAGAAGGAGGAGGATGAGACGGAGGAGGAGGATGAGACGGAGAAGACGGAGGAGAAGTAGGAGGACGAGGAGGAGGCGGAGCGGGAGGAGGGGGAGGAGGAGGAGGGGGAGGAGGAGGAGGAGGAGGAGGAAGAGGAGGGAGAGCTCCTCCAAGCGCCTGTACCCGCCCACCAGGCCGTCCCACCCGCCCGGCGCGGACGTGTGCGGTCCAGTGCCTGAGGGGAGTCGACCGGGGGAGGACCTCCTCCCTCCTTCGGGTGTTGCCGAAGGTGGCCCAGGCCCAGGGTGTCCCAAGCTTTTGGCGCCACCTTGGGGCCCTCGGTGCCCCGTGAGGGGTGCTCCGGAGGCCATCTGGACCTCCCCTGATTCTCCTGGGGGATACCCGGGCCAAGGACGCCTCTGGCAACACCCGGCTCCTCCTCAACTCCCTCCTCCCTCCTCCGCCTCCCTCCTCCTCAACTCCCTCCACAGGCGCACAATATGAGAACTCCTCTCCTCTCTCCCCGGACACTGTTCGAGCGGGGTCCCTACCCTGAGCGGGGAAGCCGTGGTGCATGGTGTTGGCAAGTGCGGCTGGCGTGTGCTCCTGACGTATGTCCTTGATGAATCATCGTGGTGTGCTCTTGATGCACGCGCTTGATGTCTGGTCTTGGTGTATGTCCGTGGCGTACGTCGGTGATGGATTTTCATGATGCGTATCCTTGATGCATGTGCTAGTGGTTTGCTTGTGACGTCTGTTCGTGGCGTATCCGTTTGGTGCATGCTCCTTGCTCTCTGGTGTTTTGTGCGTTCCTTGTGTGTGTGCTTGATGTCTGCTCTTGCAATGTGTCATTGCGATCTCTGATTCGTGTATGCTAATGCTGTGTGCGATTGTTGTGCGCTATTCGTCGAGGTTGTTAAGTGTACGCTACGCGTGCACAGCCATTGATGTACATAGGTTGAGGCGGCTGTTCTTGACATGCGTCCTTCATGCATGTTAGTGTGCTCTTGGTGTGTACTGCTAACGTATGAAATTGCTGCCTGCTCCTGATATTCATTCTGGATTTGTGTTTTGATGAATGTTCTGGAACTCTGTTCTTGATGCCGTTGGAAGGCGTGACGTCGTGACGCCTGTCGTGCCTGATCAGTCTTGAAATGCTGGCTGAGGCGCGATACTCGCGGCACCGCGAGAGAAGCCCTCGGACTGTGTCAGGAGATGCGGCTCGTAGGCTAGAGGGAGTTTTAGCCATCTGAACAAGACGGCCGAAATGATATCTAGATGCACCCCTATTGAGGATTGACGTCCCCACGTTGTTGATCCCCGATGTTGGGCCGACGAAACACCTGTTCTGGAATGTGGTCAAGCGGCTCCCACGGCCCGCGTCGTCAATTAACAAAACTCGCCGGCACTGCTTGGGTTATCGCCTGCCCAACCCCACTCCCCCAGGAGGCCAATTCTGCCGGCTTGGAATGGGGGTCGAAATGGGCATCCAGGGTGGTGCTGAGGTGGCGCTTAAGGTCTCGGGCGCCCACACGCGCCCGAGCGGCTAGTTGCAAGATGGCGTCACGTGGCCTCTGATGGCTTCGAAGATCGCGTGCGATTGGCAAACTTGGTTCCAGATGGCCTCCAAGAGACCCCAAGATAATATCCATGACGATTGGAGGTGGCCACTAGTATCCTTACGACTACCCCTGGGAAGCTCAAATCACCAAAATGCTCATGGAGCTTTGGAGGGAGCCACAACGTGGCCAAGTAATATTCGAATAAAGACTTCAGATGGGCAAAAACGGCCCAAAGAGGGCCCGAAGACCTGCAAACATTGCCCAAGAGAGCTGCAAGGCAGCCCCGGAAAGCGCCTTGAAATATCGAGAGGCGGCCAAAGAGGGCCCCCCAAAACCCGAAGAGGCCCCAAAGGCCCAAGACGGCCAAAGAGGGCTCCTTGCGGGGCACTGTGCTCATATTCTCCACGTGATCGCAGCCCCACAAATCTTGCACAACACCTCCAGGACCCCTGGTCTACACAATATCGAAGGATGGGGGTCAGACAGGAGAGCCCAACCAGGAAATGGGTTGCAACATCGGCTCTTGTTGAACGTACGGCCGAAGCGAAGCTGCGCGAGGGCGAGAGGGATCCTGAACTGGCCAAGGGCTGTCGCGTAATATTGCTTCCTGGCCCATGCCCACCGCCTTGCCACTGGGCTGTCCCTGGGTTGTCACGCGGTTGTCCCGTGCGGTTGGCCCGTGGTTGTACATAGAGATCTAAGCTCGAAGGGTAGTCTAGTCAGATCATTAGAACGATGGATATGCAGATCGTTAGCTCGATTGGTTCTCACGTCTTTTGATCGATTGTGCACCTCACCAAACCTCACTAATGCTGAGAAGGCAGGCGGTCGTCTAAGTGTGTTCAAGCAAATGTCACGTGCATGCTGTGACCCGTCCATGCACAAGCAATTCAAGCGTGCAAACACGTGCTGACTGGATGTACGGTCCACGACTCCTTCTGCTTGGCACCCGGAACTCCACCCGGCAATTCTTTTTCAAAACTGAAGGACTAGCCTGCCCGACCGTGGGAGAGGAGGAGACAGGTGGAAGAGGGAGCTAATTAGTCCGCATCCCCCTACCGCCGCCTTCCACATCTGCCCTCATCGGCATCAACTCAATATGCTAGCCCTCCCGTGAGGACACGTGGCAGAGGCTCCTCGGTGGGCATCGCTCGAAGAAACACGCTTTTCGCGACACCTGCAGGTCCCAGAAAACCACCGCAACGACCTGCTCGCTGTTCACTGGTCTGAACTCCGCGCGGATTTCCCGGGACGGCGCAGGCAATTCCTCCCGACACCCATTCCTCGACGCGCGGATCGCGCCTGGGGCGGCGCCGCAGGCGCCGCCGGGAAGTGTGGGGAGCGGGCTGCGCTGCGTTGCCGACCCAGGAAGTCCGCGCGGAACCCTCAAGGCTGACTCGTATTCGGTACATGCCGTGCTATTGGTCTTCCAGGTCTGGAAGGGGTCGATAATGACCCCCCCCCCCCCTTCGGCTGGAACGATGGGAATCGGCACCACCACCACCACCACCACCACCACCACCACCACCACCACCACCACCACCACCACCACCACCACCACCACCGCCACCACCACCACCACCACCACCACCACCACCACCACCACCACCACCACCACCACCACCACCACCACCACCACCACCACCACCATCGCGAGAACCCAGGGATGGTCTTCCTGATGGCGTGGTCCTCCTGATGATGATGTGGTCCCTCTGTTCTGCGGCGCCCCGCTCGAGACATCTCCGATCTCCAGCTCGGACAGGCATCGTGGACCTCCTCGCTGGAGTTGGCCCGCTGGTGGTGGTTGTGTCAATCCTTCCCAAACGCACGCTGAACACATTCCACAAATGCCCCCCCCTTCCACAGTCCTTCCCATGGAATTCCCACTCCCCAGTTTGACGCAAGCGAATTATTGAAAACGTTCGACGCCCGCAGCCCTTCTGAAGGGAAAGAGAACAATGAACGTGACCGAGACTGAACGTGGAAACGTCAGTGTCGATCCTGGTCACCGTCCATACTGGTCATCGTCGACTCCAAGATCAGCCTCGCGAATGGGCGACGGCCGACATGGACCATGACCAAGATCGGCGTCGACAAGATCCCGCGACATCTTGCCCATGGCCATCGTGCCTCTCCCCCCCGTAAAGAAGCATACGTCTCCCTACCATCCTTTGCGTTTCTGTGCGCTGAGTGCGTGCGTGTGCACGCGTGCTTTTCCTCCGTCGGGAGCTCACGACTCGTTTGCGCCTCCTAGACCTTGTTCCATTGCCCTCGCCCCCACACCTCCTTCTCCTGTCATTGACCCTTGGCCTTTGGGCCATGCGATTCGGCTCCCAGGCGGCCGCTCGAGAAGATCCAAGCACCCCTGAAATGCTCTCTGCGAGGCGCAACTGGTGGAACAGAAACATCCAAAAGCTGAAAGACCACTGAGAACCGACGAAAACCACCGAGAACCGCAAAGATCCAGCCGCTCATTCGCATGGGGGTAGCGGGTCCTAAGGGAAACGGGTGCTGCACACTGGTGCCTTCCCCCAAGACGAGATCTTCATCCCGAGTCGTTTCCCGACGGTCCCGGGGCCCGTAGAGGGCTCCGAGACCACGAAAATGGCGAAAAAACGCATCCTCAAGATTTGTTTGCCCGTATACAAAGACCACGCTCCAGGGAGGGAAATGCGTATACCAGGCCCACGTCTAGGACCCTCGCCCGCCCCCCCACGGCTTTTGGGTACAATGCGTGAATGTTTCCGGGCGGACTCGGACCTCCGAACCCGCTTCCCCCACGGCGAGCCGCAGAGCCTGGGCCGCCACACTGGTGCGAAAAAGACCTCACGATCTGAGCGCCTCGCCCGCCGACAGTTCCCGCTCCACGGCCGTCCTCGCCCCCCCCCCCGTCGTCGTCGTCGTCGTCGTCGTCGTCGTCGTCGTCGTCGTCGTCGTCGTCGTCGTCATCGTCGTCGTCGTCGTCGTCGTCGTCGTCGTCGTCGTCGTCGTCGTCGTCGTCGTCGTCGTGTCGTCGTCGTCGTCCGTCGTCGTCCTCCTCCTCCTCCTCCTCCTCGTCGTCGTCGTCGTCGTCGTCCTCCTCCTCCTCTCCTCCTCCTCCTCCTCCTCCTCCTCCTCCACCTCCCACTCCTCTCCTCCTCCTCCTCCTCCTCCTCCTCCTCCTCCTCCTCCTCCTCCCTCCCCCCCTCCTCCCCCTCCTCCTCCCCCTCATCATCCTCCTCCTCTTCCTCCTCCGCCTCGCCAGCGCTCGGACGTGCCTTCCCTGTGCCTTTGTCGGTTTCGCGCGGCACCTCGATGGTCCCTGCCGAAGAAACAGATGCACACGCCCGAGCGATGCCAAGACCTGGGCCCTCCCGCGCCGTGCCATCGCCGGCGCCGCAACAACAAACCATCGTCCCCGGGCCATGGCTCCCGTTTCGGGCCCTCCGAGCGCCAGGAATGGCGACCCAGAGCTCGTCCGGCGCCGAGGCGGCCTCGTGGCCGCCGCGCTGTCGGCCCTGGCGGCCCTTGGCGCCGCGCCTGCGCCTCTGCCACTGGAACTCGTCCTCGTCCTCGTCCTCGTCCTGGGAGGAGGGTCTGGTTTTGAGTTGGGCTCGGGCAACGAACGCGATCCTACTCCAAGCTGGGAGGGGGGGGCGGCGGGGAAGGAGGAGCATCAGAATCAGAATTCTGAGGAGGAGGAGGAGGACTCCACCTCCTCCTCCTTTTCCTCCTCCTCATCCTCCTCCTCCACTGCTCCTTGCTCGTTTCACCCTCCTCTTCATGCCTCCACCCACCTCCCTCGTTCCTTCTTCCCTCCTGATCCTCCTCCTCCTCCTCTTCTTCCTGCTCCCCTCCCCTGCGCCCCGAACCCCTCGTCGACATGGACGGGACGGAGGAGCGAGGGAGGAGGGAGGAGGGATTGGAAGGAGGGAGGGGACGCGGGGATGAACGGTGAGGGATTAGGACAGGGAAGGAGGTATTTACGGAGCAGACGTCACGACATCGCATCGATGACCAAGAAAGATTTCCGACAAAAGGTGCGCCCAACCTGGACGGCACACGGAGCCCAACAAAATCAGCATAACGTGTACGTTTATCCCTTCAACGTCAAGTGCTGCGGTCGGCGCTGCAAATTTCGTGGCGGGAGTGGGATTCGGCGCACATCGCGCCAGACAGGGCGACGTGTCGCTCTCGCGGCAGCGCAGCGCAAACTTTCATGACGGTTGCACTCCAGCGTGGGCCCGGCAACGCCGTTCGACCGCCATATTGTCGGACACAGGGCCGCCCCCGAAAAGGCGTGATGTCGCTCCATCTGGTGGAACAGACAGCTGCATATTTCTCGAAGGTCCGCACGGATTTCATTGATCGGCGCTGGACTCCCCTCCCTGGCGCGCGGAGCGCGCAAAGGGCGTCAGCGGAATCGCCGAATCAAGAAATCCGCGCGGACATCCGAGAGGCGGTGTTTGTGCCGTTCTTTGTTTTTCGAGAGAATGCGTGGTGCCGCCATCGCCACAGCGCCGCGCCATTATTCTTGATCACTGCGCCTCCGCTTTGGGCGCGGCGCAAACGTCGCGCCAACCGAGCCGTCGGACACGGGACCGCCCCCGGGAAGGCGTCATGTCGCCCTGCCGCCCCAGTGCCAAGCAGCTATTCTTGCAAACTGCGCCTCCGCTCTGAAGCGGCGCATGTCTTGCGCCAGCCGGGTCCGTCGGAGGCGGGGCTCCCAAAAGCCTCCTTGATAGGGGTCCGAGCAGGTCGGGTGGGAGGATCGCGCCGCATCGGATCAGCGATGCACGCATCGGCGACGTCGGCGACACATCGGAGACGTCGGCGCAGAGAAAATCGGACTCCACAGCGAGCCGCATCGCCGATGCATTGGCGATGTGGCGCGATCCTCGGGCCCGGTCCGCTCGGATCCCATCTGGGTGGCCACGAGCTCCGCGCCTTGGGGGCGAGACTTGAAGAAGAGAAAACGTTTGAGCTCCGCGCGGGTTTCTTGGCTCGGCCCTGGACTCCGTTCCTGGCGCGCGGAGCGCGCCAGGGGCGGCGCAAGAGGCTCCGCCGAACGTTTGTGTTCATGCAGTTGTTTTTGGCGACGCGCACAAGGGAACAGGGGAAGGGGGAAGGCTTCTGAGAAGGACGCTGCTTCTCAAAGGGCGCCGCCCTTACACCTGTAGATACGGCCCGCACCTGCTGAGAAGCAGTGGTGCTTCTAAAAAGCCCTCCCCCCTCCCCTGCCTCCCCCTCTGCGCGTGGGCTGACCCTCCCTTGGCCTGCCCCTGGCACAAGCTCCCTTCGCTGCCTGATCATGCAAATGCCAGGGCACGCGTGCCACCTGCTACCCATCCGTCGTACGTGAATCTCCGACGATCGAAGTCTTCGATCTGGGCGTTTTGCCCGTCCCCCTCGCGAACCACCTGCTACCCATGCGCTTTCCGTAAATCTCCGAACGATCTGAGTCTTCGATCCGGGCGTTTTGCCCCTCCCCCTCGCGTGCCACCTGCTACCCATCCGCCTTACCTGAATCCCCGACGATTTCAATATTCGATCCATTGTGTGCGAGTGGTACACAGGTATACTACCGATTTGGATCACATGTTGTTGGGCCCCGACCCCTTTCTGACCTTTTGAATCCTGGGGGTCGGGGTATTACAAATGCTGAGTTAATGATCAGGGAACCCGAATGCTTGCTAATTGCCTCGTTGCACACCCTACATTGCCAACGATACGAGAAACTAGGAGGCTATGAGGGGAGGAAGTGATGGCCTGGCTCAACTCAATGACTTTACGACTCTTCCTCTCCTTGGCCTCCTTCCTTTCGGGGATCTGGGTGGACGGATCTCTGGCGACAGCATCAGGGTGGGCGCGGAGGGAGCTTTTCCACGCAAAGGATGCGGTGGCTCGCACCCATTGGTACATGCGCATCTGGTGGCGCGGCAGGCTGTGCGAGAGGGCGCCTCGCTCAGCCAACGCGTCTGCCACCGCGTTGCCGTGCCAGGCCTCCTCATCGAGGTTCATACCCTGCTGTTCCTACGCGTCCATGCGGCTCGGGATGTGGCGCAGCTCGACCAGCGAGGCTGGGTCGTCAAGGCCTGGGCAGCGGCTCCGCAACACCTGGTGCATCTCGTCCCCTATTGGCCCTCTGCCGTCCAGGATGGCTGTGGTGCGATCTCTGCAAACCGCGGGTAGCCGCATCTAAATCCGACCATATCCGCACCCGTCCTGTCGTAGACCTGAGCGCCTGGACGATAGCCCACAACTCTGCTCGGTTGTTGGTCTGACGTCGTTCTGGCAGTGGTCCGAACTGTGCCGTGCGTAGTTCCCATCCGTGATCAAGCTTCGAAGAGTATCGCCCATGCCCAGCCGCATCTCCTGTAGCGTGGTTCCTGTGCGTGCTCTCCTCCGCTGCCGTCTGTGATGATGACTGTGTAGCTGGTGCCTGCTTGCTCGAATGGCGTGCACAGGTCGATGGGCTGGTTCTCGGTGCCGCAGTCGAGTGGCACTGTCCACTCTCGCGGCACCAGCCCCCTCAACCAAAAGCAGGGCACGTGCCCACTCCCTGCGATGGCACGCTGCTGGAGTGAGGCCGTTCTGTCATAGTCGTCGTGCTCCACTGGGCTGCCGCAGTCGCCCCAGACCCGATCTAGGTCATCTCTGGTCTGTCCGCAACTGCATCTGTTGTCTGTTTCGTCGAATGCCCTGCTCTTGCGATCTGGCGTCCACATAGCCGCGCGCGCAATAGCCTGGAGCATGCCCGCGTCGTGATGCTTGCCTTGTCTTCTCCTATTGTCCAGCTTCCTTCTGAGGTCGTAGGTGTCGATGCCATGCTCGGAGCCTTTGCCGAGCCAGTGCGTCGATGCCTTGGCTCATTGCTGGAGTTGGTGCGCTTCCATGATTGCGTGGATAACGTCCGAGGGGTCGCCCTGGTAACCGCCGTCGCTCATGCGCCATAGGTCGCCGCGCTTGTCGGTCCACTCCGTGGGAGAGGTGGCGTTCCATCATATCCCCCATAGGGTGGGCATCGCCGCGCCGCTCAGCCCTCCGCGTTGCTTCCAGCGGCATAGTGGTAGGGCGTTGGTAAGGCGCTGGTAGATAATGGGCCAGGCGTGGTGCGCCCCCTCGCGCGGGTTCTCTCGGTTATTCCATACAACGAATGTGTGCTCAATACTCCGCGTAATATAGCGACTGCAGGGTCGGCGCCGGCGAGGGCGAGGTAGGCGCGGCGGCATCGGCTGGCCCAGTGCCTGCCGAGAGCCTTCGCACATCGTCTTCTGGCTGCGGTGGTCGCCGTCGGTGCCTCCCCCTATATCTTGCAGCCGTAGAGGTAGGGCGCAAGTGGGCCCGGCGTTATCAGGGCCTGCCTGCGCTGTGCTCGAAGTCGTCGTACCTTGAGCGTGATGCTGCCTGGGCGTCCTGCTGCAAATCGTCGTCGCTTGCTGTGGGTCGGCCTGCATGTCGGTGTTCTGCCAGCTCTGTCCTGCCCAAAGCTGCGTTCAACTGTTGCAGCCTCGATGGCAATGCCCCGTTGTCGCAGCTGGCTGCAGATTTCATTCGCCATGCCCATGCTAGTGCTGATAACCACGCTCTTGCCCGCCATCTCCAACTCCTGCTCTGCAAGGCGTCGCGCGCACGCCGTGGTGGCGCTGATGGCGGACGCTGGTGCCATGTAGTGCATGCGGTGTAGTACCTGGTACATGACCGCTCGTGCGAGGTTGTTCGCGCGCCTCGGCCGCGGGGCAAGCGATCGCGATGTCCATGTCGGATTGCCGTAGGTGGAAGCCCGTCGTAGAAATCGAACGAATGTGTGGAGCTGCAGTTCTAGCGCCAGTACCCGCGGAGGGAACCGCATGTGTCTGGTGGCGTAGACCACCAGCATCAGGTCGAGCGTGTCGTAGAATCTCCGAATGTCGGCCACGGTGGTTGCATGTGATAGCTGGAATGCGTCGCATATCTCGTCGCCCAGGACACGTGCTGCTGCTTCTCGCAAGCAGCTGCCGCCAGCCATGGCAGCGCCCCAGCGCCGTCCAGCGATGCGCACCCACAGGTCCACCGTTGGTCCCGTAAGCTTCTTCCATGGTCTGCAAAATTGTGGTTGTAGTCCTAGGGCCCTGTCTCCTTCTGGTTTGGGCTGGGGCATGATGATGTTGCTGTGAAGCTGCCATGGCCATGCCAGCTCGCGCTCGCAGCTGTTGAGAAGGTTGGCTACCTGCCGTCGCCCCGCCCGCGGGAGTCGTCGCAAGCCGGAGCTGGTGATCTCGTCCGTGCCCTTGCCCTTGTCGGGCGAGCACCGTAGTAAATTAATAGTCCAGGTCGTCCAGGGGCGGTGGTCGGTTTTGCCTCCGCGCTCTCGCTGGCGCCGTTGGTGATGGTGACGTAGTCGTGATGGGTGATCGTGGGATGTGTCCACAGCTCGCTGAACTCGTCGGACTTGGCGTCTACGATGGACAGTGGGCAGCACGCCTTCCCCCGAACGTGGATGCACTCGTCCTCGTGACGTGGTTGTGGTTTCGTGATCTTGTGGGGCTTCCCTGGCGTCGCCTTCGTCGCGTCGGTAAGCTTGATCGTGAAGTTGTGCGAGCGT